GGTATTTTTTGTTCGCAGATGAGATTACACGGCCTCCTGCGAGAGGGCGAGACTTCACGACCTTGAACTTGGTTGGATGAGACTATTGTTCTGTGTATGTGGATGAGCATATGATCGCAGGAAACCCATGAAGTGAACCTTGTGACAATTGGTATGTGAGTATAACGTAGTTAGCATACTGATATGAGTGGATCTGTATAAGTGCCAAGGTGTCTTCTCCTAGTTGTCAAGATTTGCTCTCTTGTGATGATGGTGCCTGCAGTGACGGGATAAATAGTGTTCCATGCTTGTTGGCGTATGAGGTGCGACGTAGGCCCCGTCGGCGAGCTGCTCTGCTTCCAAGTGCCACAAGGAGGATAGTGCGTAGGTCGGTGCGCTTAATGGGGAAGCACAAGCCATCGCAGCGTCAAAGCTCTCGTGGAGCAACCCCCACAGGATCGCTTGTACAGCAGGGACCCTCTCACATGGACACTGAGGCGACTTCAAGGCAAGAGGTTCCAGCTGCAGAACCGCTTCTCCAAGAGAGCATGGAGATGCAACCTCCAGGATCACTTCAGCATGCAACAGCCGCTGTGCCAAGTATGTCTGAATTAACTGCCCAACTTCAATGTGTTCTTGCTCGTGTGGCTGCTCTGGAGGAAGAAAATGCATCTTTGCGACGAAGCCAGTCATCGCATCAAACGCCGCTCAACGAAACCAACCACTCTGCACCATCTATTGAAGAGCCACAGCACTTGGCACCATTAAGAGATACTCCTGTACAGCCTGTGTCTACCATTATTAATCAGGAGATCTGTCAGCAGCCCGCCCACAGCATCCTACCCAAAACCTCCACGACATGCCTCCTGTTAGTTTCCGCCCTCCAGATCATCACATGCAACCAGCATTGTATGGACGTGATGAGATTCCCGTATTCTATGGAGAAACCCCAGCATCACAGGCACTACAACGTAATCGAGAGGTGGAATCGTGGATCGCTACCATAGAGATGCTAACACGCCCTGCTACCGACGATGCTTTATCCGCATGGCTAGGGGAGAGCTCGTGGCTATGCCCAGATGGTACTCCTGGGACCTGTGTTTAAAGAGATCACGATATGGCATGAGTTTAAGGCCAAAATAAGGACCAAGTTTCGGGGGACATGTACACCAGAACGCTTCTTCGATATGCTTGCTCAGTCCCGGATGACGCCTGGACAATCGCCCCTGGACTACTATCAAGCAATCGAGATGGCAGTATTACAAGGATCTCGAGACTACCCTTATGAGATTGGGGACGTGGAGGGCCTGCTCCGAAGGACCTTCACTGCCGGTTTACCAACCTGGCTTCGACGGCAGCTCTTGCTGCTGGACTTTACGTCGGCATGTCGTATGGCAGAGAAGTGCCAGGCCATATGGGATGCAACAGTTGGGGTAAAGGCCGTCCTGCCGAATTTTAATGGTGCTCCACGAAAGGATCAGTTTGCCAAGCAGCAACATAATCGGCCACGTCCTTATGAAATGCCCATGCCCCTGGGCTACCCACCAGTAGCTGAACCACTAGCAGAAGGTGCCACGCCTGCACTAGAGTATTATAGTGATGGGCCATTACAAGCAGCAGCTATACAAGGCACCCAGGGATCATCGTTACCACAGTCACAATCGCAGCCACAGCAATGGACCCGTCCTTCCAAGCAGCATGTTCACTGGTCTCCTAAGCTTCAAGACACTCGACGGCACTCTCATCAGACATTGTCACCACGCCGCAACACTAGTCATCGGAGGGCCTGGTGTGAATATCATCGTCTAGAGGGGCATAATACGTCAGAATGCCGTGCCAACAAGCGCTTGTGTTATGGATGCGGGGAGCCTGGTCACTTCTTAGCTTCCTGTCCCTTTCGTACCAGCCGTCCAGGTCAAAACTCCCAACCCTCAGGCGGCAGTTCCAGTCCAAGGGAGGTCACCAACCAAGAAAGCTATGCTGACATTGAGGGGACGACCACAGGTCATCTTGCCAGTCAACGATAGGAAGATAACCTGTTTCATAGACACTGGCTCGGAGGTGACGGTACTGAAGGAGAAGCAGCCAAACTCCTACCTGGCATCCGCATGTTGCGCAGTTCTCGGACACTTAAAGGAGTTGCCGGGATGCCTAAATCTGTTGAAGCCGAAGCTGATCTGAAGTTTACCATCCACCCTGGTTTAGACCTTGTGCACAGGACCTGTATCACCTCTGGCATTCATTTTCCTGGGGATATGCTCGTTGGGATGGATTTGCTTAGGAGATTGCCTGTGGTTATATTATTTCGCCGAATTCTAGTGACAGTTACTTGGAGTTGGATGGTCACCGTCATGTAGTCACGTTTGTGGGTGAAGAGTCTTCGCACTTGTGAGGTTCCTGCATGTCATGAGTCCAGGGGAGAGCTTCCGGAGTTCCATTCCCTTGCAACCTCGCTACGTCTCGCCTGTGCATGTGACTGAAGCAACAACAATCGAACCTAGGGCTGGTAGATTTGTAGCTG